CCCCCCCCCGCCCCAGGGTACAGTTCCCTAAAGCCTGGGCGTGTGTGTCAGGGTGTGGGACCACCCTTCATCTGCAGGGCTGAGATAATGGCTGAAGTTGACAGTGACCACGCAGGCCCTGGGGAAAAGAGCAAAGGGCCTGAGGAACACGTACAGCCCCTGGGGCAGTATAGAGGGGAGGCAGTGAGTGGTTGCCCTCCCCTGTCTGCCCTATGCCAAAACCCAGGCCCAAGGCTATGGACATCAGGGTAGGCCCTGTGCTCCCACAGTTTGGGGACAGCCCCTCCCCACAGTCCACTTGACAGAATCCCCTCTCCTGAAAACTGTACATTGTATCTTCTCCTTCAGGGACAGATCTGGCCAAGAAGGGCAACAAGTGGCCAGAGAGAACTGAGTTGGCAGCTGAGCACTCAGCCTCCACACCTGGATAACTGACTTCCTGGGATGAAGTCCCAAGGGTCCATTAAGACACAGCAGAGCCCTTGCCCGACCCTCAGGGAACTGAGGTGGGACTAGCTGGGCAGCAGGGCTAGGGCTGGCATGGCTTTTGGAGGAAGCTGTTTAATTACCAGTGAAAGCCCTTCCATTACAGAGAGAAGAGAAACCATAATTGTATTTCAGAGAAGCCATTTATATGTAAACGAGGCTCTGGCAGACAGATGCTGGCAGGGCCTGATCAGCCTGGGCTGGAGCGGTGTCCAGGCCGGCCTCCCCCTTTCACTCCTCAGGATAAGGCAGGGCCCAGGCTCTGCTCTGCTCTGCTCTGCTCGGGAGCCAGACCCCGATGTCTCCTCTTGCCTTGGACCATACCAGACTTGATGGGGGGTGGAGCTGTGTAATGGAACAGTGTGGTTCTTGGAGTTGGCCTGAGCTGGGTTCAGATCCTGCTCTGGGCACTTTATTAGCTGGTGGCCTTGAGCAAGTCACATACCTCTTTGAATCGATTTTCTTTCTATAAAAAAGAGATTGATCTTGCAGGACGGTAGCTGGTTTGCGGATGGTATGTATGCTGCTTGGCACATAGTAGATGCTCTATGAATCTTAACTATAATTTTTAAGGCAATACACATTCTGAAGTTATGTAGATCAAATTTTTGCCAAATGAATTTTTCCTAAATGCTCCTTTGATGTTATAATTTGCACACTCCACCAGCATAAGAGGTGGAAGAAACCTAAGAGGTATCCATTGACATATTTTGCAAAGGTAGAAACCGAGGTCCAGAGAGGTTAAGTGATTTGCCTAAGGTCACACAGCTAGTTGGTTTTTTGTTTTTTTTTTTTTGCGGTGTGCGGGCCTCTCACTGTTGTGGCCTCTCCCGTTGTGGAGCACAGCTCCGGACGCACAGGCTCAGCGGCCATGGCTCACGGGCCTAGCCGCTCCGCGGCATGTGGGATCTTCCCAGACCAGGGCACGAACCCGTGTCCCCTGCATCAGCAGGCGGACTCTCAACCACTGCGCCACCAGGGAAACCCCACACAGCTAGTTTTATTAAAACCAAGAATGAAATTCAGGTTATCTGACTATAGTCTGGCATTTTTTCCATTATCTTTCAGTAAAGTTGAATAATTATCCTCCAGTGTATCTGTTTAATACTCCCAAATTTCCATATATTGGATATGTCTGAAGTGGGGGTGTACCTGTACTCTAATGCCCCCTAGAAGATGTGATAGGAAGTGGTACAGATACCCCAGTAATAATGGGGGATGTGAATGGACACAGCACTCTGACAGGCTGCTATGTGGGGTGCAGGTTCTACCAGGCAGAACTCCTAGGCACTGAGGAGAGGACTAGCCATTCCTGCCAGTAGAACCTGGGAGGCTGATGCTGGTCTCTGTATCCGTGCCCAGAGTGCAAGGCTAAGGAGGAGGAGGAGGAGGAGCCCTGCCTCCCCTGCCTCTTCCAGGACCCTTTAAAGCCCAGTTGTCAGCCGCTAGCACCCAGACCTTCTGCCCTCTTCTTCAGAGTGAACAAGAACAGCTTTGTGTCCACTGCTCCATCCTCCTCCCAGCACCCAGCCTCCATCTCACCCTGTTGAGTCCCACAGGCAGTTCCTATCTCCTCGCCTGTACTTGTAGAACATCTTGGGCTTCCGTTAATAATGATGATAGTGATAATTCATTAAGCACTTGGCACTATGCTAAGTGCTTATTTCACTTAATCCTTCCCTGTAAGTCAGATATGATTATTCCCCCATTTTATAAGGAAACTGAGGCCCAGAGAGGTTAAGGGGGCCCCAGGCCACAGAGCTAGAAAGTGACAGAACCCTTCTAAGCTGCACTCTATAGCCTGACTGCTTCCCCCAATGGACTCTGCGCTCCTTGGGAGCCTGGGCTGAGCCTCAGACCTCTCCAGATGCCCAGGGCTTGGCACAGAGTTGGCACATGTTCACAGGGGATGAAGTTCTTCCCAGCCTGGCTGGGCATGGGAGAGATACTGGCGGCTCCTCCTGTCCTGCTGGTTATCCTCCCACCGATCCCCCTTGGAGTCATCCTGACAGGCTCACTTTGCCTAAAGCCACCAGCCAGCAGGCCCCACTCACTTGAGGGACAGGGAGAAGTCGTTCTTGCTGGTCTCACTGTTGCGCACCAGGTAGCTGGCCTCTTTGCACAGCCGGAGCAGGTTCTCGGCATCTGTTCGACTGATGGCCCCGTGGTACCAGCTGAGGACAAGAGAGAGGAAGGGGGGGCATCTCTGCTGGGTCCCTCGCTGTCCAGGCCCACCCATTTTGGGTGTCCCCTGCAGGCAAGCCGGTGCCAGGAGGGGAAGGGAGGGGAGAGTCCCCAGCTGGACACAGACACTCACACCTGGTTTTCCAGAGGCAGTGCTGGGTCTGTCCACTCCCCCAGGGGGCTGCTGGGCTCCACGCTTAGGGACTTGGCTGACTTGGGGTTCCCTGCGGAGAGTCGGGGAGGGAGCCGCCCCTTCTCCTCCCGGCCAGGTGACAGGCAGCTCTTCTCAGATCCTTCAAACTGGGCTGTGGGGGACATACCAGTCATAGACTCTGAGGACCCTAGAGATAGAGCCTTATAGACTAGCCAGTGCCCCATCCCCATTTCCAGCCAAAAGGGGGCAAAGGAATGTTCTGGAAGGGTGGGGCGTGCTCATGAGCCTGACCAGCTCTAGGGACAGTAGTATCCTAGGTCCATCCCTGGGTGGGGCGGGGGCGGGGCTCAGCTCTCTTGTGCCACATGGCCTCCCAGTCCCCACACCGTGGCAGGAGAGGGAAGACAGCAACGCGAGAAACCACTTAAGCTCCTCCCTCTGGAGGAGCTGACTGCCTTCCCCTATTCCATCCCCCTCAGGGTGGCTTCAGTGCTGATAATAGTGTTTCTTTCTCCTCCTCAAGAGTTCATTACCGTTCTCCAAATCACCCTGCCAAGCCGTTCTGTAGAAATGACTTATCGATCTGAGAACAATTCTCTGACTCCCCTTGGTGCCATCCTCACAGGCTAATCCTGCCCAAAGCCGCCAGCCAGCCCGCCCCTCCCCCCGCCCCCAAGGTCGCGGCCCACAGGCTCCCCTCCCCCACCCACAGAAGCCCAGCAGAGGCAGCTCTGGCCTCCCAGGCTGGGACAAGCATGACCGCTGTGAGCCTGCCCAGGGAGGGCTGAAGCCAGTGAGCCAAAGGGGCACGAGCACACATGCACAGATGATAGAGACCCTCCTTCAGCCTGTATTTACAAAATACCCACTCACACCCACGCACAAATGTACAAACAGGTGCTCATGCCTGTGTGCGTATGCACAGATGCAAGCACATCCCTGGCTGCCCATTCTGGGTAAAACTGAAAGTAGATGAAGTGTTCAGTGTCTTTTTTCAACCCATTTGGGCTCTTTTTCTCTCCGCCTAGCACTTTCAAGCCCTCGTTGTCTTTCCAGTCACCAAAGACCAAACCTTTCCTTTAAGGAGTTAGATACTTCCTGTGCTAGCATCGCCCCTGCCTCAGGTGTTATTTGCACTGCTGAGGGATCTGGTCAGGCAGAGCTCTGCCCAAAAGACTGAATTTAGAATAATGGATTTTTATGGCATGGGGGGAAAGATATTTGGAAGGGGCCTCCCTCAGGAGATACCTTCCCCACCCCTTTAGGGGAGGGAGGAACGTGTACTTAGTCCCTTCCATCTTCCTCCAGGGCAAGAGGGATTCCTCCTGGGTTCTCTGAACTCTGCCCCACCTCTCTGCTCCTCCAACCCAATCCACAGGGCCTGAGAGCTGACAGGACACATCACCCTGGCCAGAAGCCCCCAAAGGACCCACCGCTGCTGTCCTCCAGGCTGGACTCAGGGAGGGGTGAGGCTGGACCGGAGAAGTCCCTGTCCCTGTCCGGAAGGGAGGGGCTGCTGTCCAGCTGTCCCACCGGTGGAGGCCAAGGTAGGTCTTTGATGACCTTAATGTCAACTGGAGCCAGTAACAGCAGGGAGAAGAGAAACAGACAGGGACAGAGACAGAGACAGAGAGAGGCAGAGATTGAGACACCAAAACCCAGAGCCAGGACACAGGACAGCCTAGAAAGGAGGAGGGTCAGAGCAGAGGCAGGGGCGGCTTCTGAGGGAAGAACAGGACTCTCAGAGGACTGGGCGGAGCCACACTGACCGCACCATGGTGGGTGGGAGGCTCCAGGAGCAAACAGCCAGACACAGGGTCTTGCTCTGCCAGCCCCACAGGTCCCCTTTATTTGACCTCTCACAAGCCTCCAGGGCCCAAAGGGCCCAGGAAGGGAGGAAAAGCAGGACCAGGAGCTGCCCATACTCCCCAGCACCGTACCTGGACATCCACACAGCATCCTGGCACGCCCCACCTTGCCTTCCTTCCCCCTTTCGCCTGCAGCCTGGGAACTCATGGGCAGCCAGACTGAGACAGCCCAGCCTCAGGCTGTCAGGAAAACTCAGAAGCCAGAGCAGATGTTTTATTGAAATTTACCCGCCACACCCTCAATCCTGAGCCTTGACAATTAGGAGAGCCATGCCACTGGCGGCTGCAGGACTGCTAACAGGTTTCCCAATGAGAAGCATAGATTTTCCCATTAAGCAACTCAAACAGTATTGATTCTCCAAGGAGACTTCGGGAGATAAACGGCCCATCCTCAATGGTGCACGCTTTATGGGAAACAAATTAGGAACCTGTGGTTTCCCAGTCTGGCTGCCGGGGTGTGGAGGACAGAGTGGAGAGCCGGGTCCAGCTCCAGGATGAGCTCCTTGCCCAAGGAGGGCTGAGGAAGACATGGGAGTAGGAATGAGGTCTAATGGCACTAAAGTCCTTTATGTTCTCACTGAACAAGGCTTTTGTACCAGGCTCTTGTATCACCCACTCAGGCCCTCTCTATGTTGGACTCCGGGCCTGGGATGGACACTGGGGTGCTTGGTGCAGGAGAAACCTGATGATTTCTCCCTCTCCCCACTGGTCCCTGCTCCTGAGAAATACCCTTGGGGCTAGGCTATATACACAGTGGGTTTTCACTGTCTGGAGTGTCAATGCTTTCCTTTGTTACATGTACGTATTTAACATATGCCACAAGTTTTATCATTTTGTTTGGAATTTCTTTATTTTTAAGTATACACCGCCTCCCAGAAGATGGAAGTGGCCCAAGCCTCTTGGCCTCTGAGAGGTGGTGATGCAGGGAGTCATCCCCGACCCTGCACACAGTTCTGTGTCCACACCGCCCAACTCACCACTCTCCATGGTGCAACTCAACTGCACTTCCCTTGAGCCCAGCTCCTGCTCCCCACCCCCACCCCAAGTCCACTCCTCCCATCCCCCTGAGCCTGGAAAGCTGCTCAGAGGCCCCAGCAGACCTGCCCTCTCCAACCAGGACTCACCTGCGAAGGCTTTGGAAATCCGCTCCTTCTTCCACTCCCAGGGCTGGTCATACTCCTCAGGGGGCCTCTCATCATCCTCTGGCAGGCGGGACTCCCGGGGCCAGGAGGCCCCCTCACCTTCCGGGGTGGCCCCCTCCTCCTCCTCTGGCTCATAGGGCGTGTCATACAGAGGCAAGGGCTGAGCTGCTGTCTCCTTGGAGCCCCGGATCTCTGCCAGGGCAAGGCAGGAGGGGAGGTGTGAGCAGTCCTGGCTGCCTGGCTCAGCGCCCCGGGCAGCGCTCCCCAGCTACAAGCCTTCAGAGGAGATGCTGGCTCTGGGGGGAGCCCAGTGGCCACACATCTGGGGTCTCTCACCCTCAGAACACCTCTAGGGTTCCAAAAGCATGGGACCCAACAGAGGCAGGGGCAGAGAAGCACCAGAGTGAAAGACAGAAAAAAGATCCTGTGATGGCCAACAAGGGCTGGGGAGCTGAGGCCTACACATTTAGGAAACTGAGGCAGGGTCCATCTCCTTGCTACTCAGATCCATTTATTTCCTTGTGTCCCAAGTTATGTCATTTTGCAATCAGAAAATCCTTCTTTGTTGCTCAGGTACTGCTGACCACCCCCTCCTTGAAACTGTCCCCTTTGGACAAGTCATTTTCATGGACTGTCCTCCTCTCCCATCACCCCCGTTTGGTCTCTTTCCCTGGATCCTCTCTTGGTCTCTGTCCGCCAGGGCCAAATCTTATTCATTTCTCCCTGCCCTCACTCTCCAGTCTCATGGCACCCTTTGCATCTATATGTTTCCAACTGCCATAAAAATGTTTCACTTTGATGTTTCAAACTCACTGCTTTCCCCCAAAATTCTTCTAGTCTGTTCTGTGATCCTCTTTTGGGGATCACTGACCCAGTGAAAATCTGATAAAAGCTATGGAGCTACTCCCCAGAAAAATGTGCAAATTTTCACATACAATTCCACGGCACTCATGGACCTCCTGGGGGTCTACACCCTTCTCATCTAAATACAGTAGCCGCCCTCTCACTTTCTCCATTTCTGTCTACTACACTGCTCTCCTTGGTCCTGGCCTTCCTTCATTCTCTGAATCCCATGTGTTCAGTGCCAATACCTGATGACTCTCCCCCTCAACTCTCCGCGTCTAGATTACTGCTACCTCCAATCTACAGGCTCATGTTTCAGGGCCTCCATGGAATGACACTCCCTACTGCTCTCTGCTCCCTCACCCACTTCTCCCAGGGAGGGAGAACAGCTTATCTGATTGGCCAGTGGAAGCTTCCTTTCTTTCCCAGATCTGCCTACTTGCAGAGAGAGAACATTCTGGTTCTTTCTCCTCCTGCCCCCGTGCAGGGGCCTATAGATGTCCTGAGTTGCCCAAGCCTGAGTAGGCAAGTTTAATTCTGTGGCGAAGTATTCTTAGCTATGTCATTCTGGTGACATAGATAAGTAATGTTCTCCAATCAACTTTATCGGTAATAAAGCTGGCATTGCTATCTCCATCTATCTGTTTCCTTAATCCTATTCCTCAGTTATTTCCAAGCTCAGAGGGGAAGAAAGGGGTGTTAATTATTGGTTCCTTAAAGCCTCAACAATTTCCACGATAGCCTACTACCTCATCTTTCTTATTTTTAAATTAATTAATTAATTAATTTATTGGCTGAGTTGGGTCTTTGTTGCTGCACGCGGGCTTTCTCTAGTTGCGGCGAGTGGTGGCTACTCTTCGTTGCAGTGTGCGGGCTTCTCATTGCAGTGGCTTCTCTTGTTGCAGAGCACAGGCTTTAGGCACGCGGGCTTCAGTAGTTGTGGCTCACGGGCTCTAGAGCGCAGGCTCAGTAGTTGTGGTGTGCGGGCTTAGGTGCTCCGCGGCATGTGGGATCTTCCCAGACGAGGGCTCGAACCTGTGTCCCCTGAATTGGCAGGCGGATTCTTAACCACTGCGCCACCAGGGAAGCCCCCTAACTCATCTTTCTGATGCCCAGTTCTTCTAGTGTGTTCTGTACACCAAAGCCTCAGTAATCCTCTAAAAATGCCATATCCTGTTCCTTTCTTGCTCAAGAATCCATAATGGCTCCCCTCCCATTTTTGGAGCAAGTCCAAATGCCTCATTTGAGCCTTCAAGACCTGCACTACCCCTCTTGGCCTCTCTCATTTTAGCTCTCCTGTATGCCCAGCACTAAGATTATTTGCCCCTGAACAAACCTTCCTCTCATCCTTCCCTGCGGCCTTGGCTTACACTGATTCACCGCTGTCCTCCTCTCTCATCACCCACATTGTTCCCTTTCCCTGGATGCTTTCTTGACCTCTGTTCCCCAGGGCTAGGTCTCATTCACTTCTCCCTGCCCTCACTCCTTGAACTACTTGCCCAATCTCATGTGCATTGCATCTGCATTTCTAGTCATGTGTTTCCAATGGCCATAGATGTTCGCTTTGAGGTCCCATCATTTCAGACCCATCACCTTCCCTAAAGCTAGTGATTCTCTTCTTGGGATCGATGACCCCCAGCCCACACCACTAGCTTGTCATTCGTACTATCCCAAATGCTTCTATTGTCTGCCCTTTGGTTGTATGGCCTTCTCTAGCACCTCACGTCTCAGGCACCACAAGTCCCAGCTTCTTCTCCAAAATGACTATCTTGAAGGCAATGGCCACCCTCCCCAAAGACCCAGCAAAGGCTTTCTCCATATTTTCTAGGGACCAAGGAATCAGTCCTTAGACTTGTGGGTCCCAGAGCCTGTTCTGCAGATACTCAGGCCTCAGGGAGCAACCCCCCCCACCCCACCCCCACCCCAAACTCCATCACTCACCAGCCATCATCTTTTGGGCCTCATAGGGCTCCATGTAACCGTCATTCTCGGGGACCTTCTCTGGGGCTCCTGAAGCTCCTATTGGGCCTTCACCAGTCTCCTGAACATCAAACGGATCCGCATAGTCTTCTAGAATTGCTAACTTTGGGAAGAGAGTGAGGGGAGCAAGCTTCAGATGTCTGAGATCCAGCTCTGCTTCTCCCCAGGATGCTCTGTCCATGGGAGCAAGAGTCCTGGGCAGGCTGCCCCGGAGCTTGGGTGGGGAGAAGCTCTGGCTCTTCCTTTGCAGGGGTCCCCACTAGGCTGCCAACAGAATGGTACATCTTTCGTTTCTGTTAATTTTGTGCCTCTGGCCCATTCCCTAGGCTAAATGGACAGGATGAGGCTCTGGGCTTTAAGGCCAGCCTCAGTCAGGGTCCAGGCAGGACCAGAGCCTATACCAGGTGGCCTAACAGAGGGAATTAATTCAGAGACCTGGTTATAAAGGTGCTGGAGTTCAAAGAATAAGCAGGGAACAGTAGGCAACTGGGGGATTAGCTTGGTCCATGCCTAGCATTGCATTCCCAGATGCTAAACAAATAAGTATTTGCTGACCTTCAAGTAAGGTACTGACTTTATGCCACAGTTCGCTGGTTTATCCTCACAACATCCTTCACAATGTCATGTGGGAATTATTATCCCCATTTTAAGGAAATGGAGGCTCAGGGTAGGTAGGGAACAACACGCCCAAGTCCATTCCACATAAGTGAACAAACCAGGATTGGAACCTGTGCCCTTTGTGCAAAATCATGCTGCCAGCCTGCTACCACTGGGCATCTTGGCTGTCCTGGGAGAGAGACCACCTTAGGATAGCCCTGAGAAAGCCAGGGTTTGGGCTCTGCTGAAATCCCCCAGGCTCTTGGAGGACAGGGACAGGAAAGGTCTGGTCTTGGCCCTCCTCATCCCAGGCTGCAAGCCGCACACCCTGCAGAGGAGCTTAAGGTGCTCGGGGCAGGGCGCAGCTGAGGACAAGAGAGCCTTTCTCCAAGCTGGGCACAGGCTTGGGGGCACCTGCTGAGGCAGAGACAGAGCACAGCCTGCCGCACGCTAACTGCACCTTGGGGTGGGAGAGCACTGCACACCGGGTTGCCAGGCGTTGACAAGAGGTAGCTTCGGGGCCTGCGGCATGGGGAAGGGGCCACTCCTGCCTCTCCCCTATTCTCGGTCTAGGCTTTGGTTCTGGTCCAGATCACGACTGTGGGAGACAGTTGGGCAGGGAGGCTGTGAGGATGACCGCCTGTCCTGGGTTACAGGACCTGGGACCCCTAGCAAGGCGGAAATGGAGAAAGAAAACTTCCCACCTCAGAAACCCCTTCTGCATGTTCCTTGAAGCCCCACTGGCCACTCTCGGGGTCTCAAGAGTGTCCCAACAGCTCCTACCATCTCATGCATCGGTTCTTCAGCTCCTACTCGTTTCACCTTGTTCCAGTCAAGACCCCCAGCTCCTTTACCTCCCTCGAATCTCTGCCTGCTTCTGAGAAGACCACCACCTCAGATCATCCCATCACCTTCACCAGAGCATCCACTGGCCTGAGGCTCTTTGTCACTGCTGTCCCTCCAGCTCCAGTAAGCACCTGGTTCACAGTGGGCACTAGAAAAATGTTTCTGCTAGATCACTGCCTATTTCCCCTTACAGCCCCCCTCTGCGAGTCCTCCTTCCTGCAGGAAGTGCAGAAAAGGAATCCACTCCTACCCCAAGCTGCTTCACCCCAGGCCAACGGGCACCCACAGTCTCACCCACCTGACCAAGGGGCTCTGGAGCCAGCCCATTGGGTACCCACCCAGGTTGGCACCCAGCCTTACACTCATATGTGGCAGCTACTTAACAGTAACTGAATCAACAAATGTGCCATCCTTAAACCTTGCAATGGCTCTCCAGTGCCAAAAGAACAAGTCCAAAGTTAAAGGGATTTAAAGATTCCACTTTGCTCTTTGGGTTCTCTCTACCCACCCTAGGTTACTTGGTTACCTGAAAGCTCTATAATCTCTTTCTTATCTCAAAGGCTTTCCCTTTACCTGGATCAGATTATTTTTCTTTAGAAAGCCTTCCATTCTCCCTCCAGGTCTGGTTAGGGCCTCTGTGCTGGGCTATCAACACACTGTGTAGTAAATACTTGTTTTATTATCTGTCTTCCTGCAGACTGTGAACTTCCTGAGGGCAGGAGCCACGTTCATTGCTAAATTCCCAATACCTAAAAGTGCTCAGTAAATATTTGTTAAATCAGTTCATATAAAAGAGGAAGGAAGAATGGACAAAGGAAGCACTTTTCCTTGTTCATTCAGGAGAGGAGGAAGCATGAATCTGGCTGGGGAGTCAGACACGGGGTATGAGACCCTGGAAGCTGCTCAATAAGTAGAAGCACCTGGCCCAAGCCCCAGATCCCCCTCCCCAACTCCACAGAGCCCCCCTTGCCTTCCCTTAGCAAGCCCAGTCAGAGCTGCAGGCAGCGCCCTTCCCACTGGAGTCCTGGGCCAGTCCTGGCAGCTCGGGGCCCATGGGCACCCAGGTGGCAGCTCTGTGGGCAGCTCAATGGCTCCTCTGTTCCATTCCTGGCTCCACAACCTGCTCCAGGAAGCCCTGGCCTCCGCCCTGGGCTGGGGCACCTAGAGAAGCCACCCACGGGGCCGGCCGGGGCAGGGTCGGGAGCAGCAGCAGAGACACCTGCTGGGAAGGATGGGCACCCGACCTGGACATAGAGGACGTGTCAGAGACCAGGCCTGCTTTCCCAGTGGCTTCTAGGTCACGTGAAGAGGCAAAACTGCTCACTGTGGGGAAGCTGCCCCTGTAGGCTTCTGACACCTTTGCTCTATCATGATTTACTTTGTTTATGGGCCCTCTACCTGACTCTGCCTTGCTCACTGTTGTATACGGCATCCATCACAGGGCCTGGCACACAGTAGGTGCTCAGTGCGCATTTACTGGATGCTCGAAAGGCCTCCATCTTCTGGAGTGACACCGACTCTCAGATTCCCATTCATCCTAACTCTGACTGACCAGTAGGGGCTGTAGGAGCAGCCTGTCAGGAGAATCCACATTTGATAGGGATCAAAGCCTTTGGCTCAAGGGCAGAAGGAAGGAACTGGCAGGGAAGGCACCTAAAGCCAGGGCTGATATTTAGGCAAATCCTCTGGTACGCTGTTGAAATGCTGAAATATTTCCAAACTAGTAGGTAAGTAGCTCTGCCCAGAGGGCCCCGTGGCTCCCTCCACTCCTGCAGGAGGGTGGCAGGGTGCCTCCAGGACCCTGGTCTTGGACCTGTTCAATTGGGCAGTGCTCCTCCCAAAGCAGCTGTCAGGCCTTGCCTCTCCTTCCTGCCCAGGCCTCTCCTGAGGTAGCCGGCAGGCCCACCATCTGGTTGAACCCTCCACTCTGCAGCTGGGCCCCGGTACGAGTTTCTGACCCCACCCGTGGGGCTTTTGAGGCCAGGGGAGCAAAGGAGACACATGTCACGGGATTTGGGCTCTGCAAAGTACCCGAAGTCTACCACTGTCCCTTTTCTCCATTTCTTTAGTTTATATTTAATGTCTGGAAGCCTCTGGTTTTTTAATCTGTAGAATGGGGATGGTATTAGCACCTACCTCATAGGACTGGGTAGAGTACAATGAATGTAAAAAGTCCTTGGCCCAGAGGCTGGCAAGGAGGAGTCAGTGCTCGATAAATGTTTGCCCTGATGATAATCTCTTTTATTCAGGCATTAAGACCCCAGAGTTCAGGTGCTTGTCCAGGGTGCACAGCTTGCAGTAGCAGAGACAAGAAAGACAGAGACCCAGGTCTCCTGACTCTCATTGCCTTGCCACAGATTTTCCAGAAAAACTGGGAAATGTAGCATCTTCTCGCCTCTATTTGTAGATTTAAAATGCACCTTAGCATGTTAAAGGCTCTGAGAAGTCCTGCAACCAAAAGACTAACTTAATTTTGTTTAATTCAGCATTTCTCCAAACTATTTAACCATGAAATCCCTTTTCCACTGAAAGTCTGTCAGTCTGGGAAATGGTGTACTATTGATATTTACCTTCCTCAAGATTGAACTTTTTGCACTTTCTGTTCCCACTTACTAGAATGCCCTTCCCAATTTTATCTGCCAGGGAAACTCCTTCACGTGAAACAAATTTGTTATTATCCTTTTCTAATAACAAAGCAATGCCATGCTTGTAAAACATTCATCACAGACATGCAATTGATGCTACCAAACCTTTTAAGACCCTTATAAGGTATGTCCGAGGCCACTTTGGGATTGGGTGGCAAGTGCTGGCCTTCAGCATTCAGGAAATGGTGAACTCAGCACAGAATGCAATCCTCATTCCTTCCTTAAGAGCCTTCTTCCCCTGGTTCATTAGCAAATGCTCAGTGGATACTTCCTCTGTCTGCAGGCCTCCTCTCAGCAGGTGCAAAGGTCCTGTGCAAAGGTCCCATAGACATGCTGGCAGCCAGTCTGGAGTCAGGCTGCCCAGCTGGGAACCTCAGCTCTCTAACCAGCTGTGAAACCATGCAAGCGTGACTCAACATTGCTGTGCTTCAGTCTCCCTTTTCGTAATGCTGGAATAGTAACAGACTTGTCCTCATAGGGTTGTTGTAAGGATCAACTGGTCTAATACACATCAGCTGCTTCAAATGGTACTAGATACAAGGTGGAGGCTCAGTAAATGTCCACGATTATATTATTAAATACAAAGGACAAATTCCTGGATCCTCAAGAGCTCACAGTGACAGACACAAAACAAGTTCCCAAAGAGTGAAGCACCTTGAGGCGCTATGAAGCCACACAGCTGAGCCCCAGGCTCTGCAAGCCCCACAGGCTCACTGTATGCAGGGTTTGGGCCCCACCTCCACTCTCATATCATATCACACTGGTTCTCCAGGGCAACGGAAGTAGGCTGCAGGTAGCCCTCCAAGTCCCGGGCCCCAGCCAGCTGCTCCATCCAGGGTCACAGGGTCCCCGGCTGTTCCTGGCTCCCAAAGTGTGGAGCACCAGGGCTGCGGTGTCACTGAGTCACTGCCCAAGCCAACAAGCTGCAGTTGTCTTCCAGAGGGAGGGAGTGCTGCAGCACGAGGAGGCAGCAGTGGATAGAGTGGACAGGCCTGCGGGCCTCAGCCCTCCTTGAAGCATCAACGGCAGTGGCACCAACAACAGCACAGGCCACAAAGTTCAGATCCCTTGACCGGAACCCTCGTCCTTTCCTCCAACAGGGGACCCAAGGACACGTGTGAGATAAACGAATCAGACCTCTAGACTCTGCGCAAGTCATATGAAAGAAAATTAAAGCAAACAAGGAAACAAACTCAAAAAAGGCAAGGACTTGGTCTTCTAGGTGGTGAGTCTCTTTCAGCGCCTCGGCCAGTGTCACTTAATGATACTCAAACACTCAATGAACACTGGCCAGGGAGGGCCCCTACCTGCCCTCCTAATCCCAGGGCAGGCATGTCTTGTTCATCTTCTGACATCCGGAATGTATCCTTCACTTTCTTCTTCCTGCCTATCTGTTCACTCGTTTCCAGACTTGGGCCCAGAGGATCCAAGACCATGTGAAAACCATCTATGAGGTACAGTATCTATTCTTCAAAGTTCTTACTATTTTGGGCCCTGTGAACACCAGTGAGAATCTGAGAGCTGTGAGCGTTTTCCCAGAAAAATGCTTATGCCCCCAAGTATGTGCACAGTATTTCTGGAGGTTCATGAACCCTAGAAGCCCCTCTGTGAGCTAAGAACAAGAACCCTAGTTTCAATTCATACAGGGTGCCTGACTGTCTTAGTGTTCACATCACCTCTCTCTCTCTGTTTTGCGCTCTCACTCTCTCATTCTCTGTCTCTGTCTCTTTCTCTCACACACGTATCTTGGCATGATGGAGGCAAAGGACACACTGTGCAGATGGTCAGAGGCAACTCAAAGCTTCATCCAACCAGGGCCCCTCTCCCATCCCCATCCCCTTTTCCTAATTAGATCAGGATTTTCCTATTGAAGGTCTGAGAAAAGGGAGCAAAGCAAGGGAAGGCACAGCTCTCTAGCCCCTCTGCCAGAGCATAGCCTGATGGCCAGACAGGGCCCAGTACCAAGAGGGAGTCTTCCTGCAGCCAGATGGCGAGGCCCTGCCTGCCGGCTGCTCTCCCACCTGCCCTGCCAGGCCTGCCCAGATGGCCACCCTTGCACCCCTGCCAACTGCAGCCGTGGGTCTCAGGGTGGGCCAGCAGCCAGAGCCCTGAACGGGGAGAAGGCTAATGGTCCTGAGCACCCACGCCTCTCAGGGTCCTGTCTGAGGCCTATTCTCTCCAGCCCCTACATCCACTGGGCTCATTCCCCTTCAATTTCTCTGGCTCATCACAGAAGCATTTGCACCCATTTCATCAAACCTCATGGTCCAGCTCCTCTCAGAGGGTTCTGACCCACCTAGCACCAGCTGCTGGACTGCAGAAGGAGAGAAGTGAGCCAGCCCAAGGCAAAACCTGGTCCCCAGCCTCATCTCACCTCAGGAAGAGACTCAAAAGCAGCAAGCCAAGAGGACCTGCAGGGCTAAGCGGAGGGGGAACTGAGACTAAGGAGAAAGCAGCCACACAGGACAGGAACACCAGCTCAGCAGGGCCTCGGGGTCCAGGCCGGCTCGCCATCCAGAAGGCACAGTCCTGTGTGAGCTCTACGGGCAGGTGCTCACCCTTGGGTTTAGGCTAAGGGGCTCAGGTACCTAGTCTGGGCTCTTCCTAAGAAGATCCAAACTCCGCTCCTGCTCTCTCTGAATGGTGGGAGCCCCCAGGTCAGCATCCCTGCCCTTGGGCCAGCTCAGATGGCATACTGGGTCTTTCTCACACACTCATTAAACCACAGATTGTGTGGCTCCTAGGAAATCCTGCTAGATTTCATTCCTGTCCCTGCAGCTGACAAAGGAGTCAGATACCTCTTAGCCCCCCAAGGTCTGAGCAGCCCACAGATCACAGAGACAACCCAGGGAGAGGCATGGATGCCCTTGGTGAGAAGAGGCTGTGGGCTTCTGCATGGTTGTGTGCGCACAGCCCCTTCCTTGGGGTCTCTGTGGGGAAGTGTACAAGGGGAACTTTAGTTAGGGGAGCCTCTGACCCTCAGGTCACCCTAGCAATGGAGAGTCACCATTGATATTTATGCACCACCCCTCTTTATGCCAAACACTGTGTCAGGCACTTGGGAGACACAGTATGAGGATAAGGCCCTTGTCCTGGAGGATCCCACCGCTTGATGGGCAGCCTGTTATGCCATTCCAAGACAATACAGAGAGGAGGGCCAGGGACAGTTCGGGCCCACATGCCAGCAGGCAGTGGTCAGGGAGGAGGAGACTAACTGATCAATAGTAAGAACAAAGCCTAATGCTCCCTCTGCCTCAATGCCACCACCACCATTGGGGAAAATTAGGAAGAGGAGCCTAAGGACATGTGAAGAAAGCATAGGCTCCTTCTGCAGGCGAACAGTCCTGGCCCAGGATGGGTAGCCATGCCCCATGGCAGGAACTAGGGGAAAAATAATTCACATTCCTGAGGCTTCTGCTCTGACCCTGACACATCTCTCTTACCCAAGAATCAGGCAGAACAGTGGCACGCTCTCAGCTGAAAGCCTCAGCCCTGGAGCCAACAGATTCAGACAGCAACTTTGCTCTCCAATCAAAGAAAACTGTGTTCTCTGCTGAGGAGAGGGGAGTCAGCCCCAGAGCGAGCTCCCAGGGGTAAGTGAAGAGGGACAATAGAGCTAGGGCAGCCCACCAGGTCATCGTCCTAGAATTTAGGACTGCAGGGACCTGGGGATGACCTTCAGCTGTCAGGGAGGGATAAGGCCGCACTGAGGTTGCGCAGGGGGTGTCTTCTCTACCAGGGGCCTTTGAGCCACAGTGGATGTTCTTGGAAACAGTGAATGCCCAGCCCGCCTCTGTACCCCAAGCCTTCAGATCCAGAAAAAGCTCTAGCCACCCTCAGAATGGACCCGGGGAGCAGCAGGCCAAGAGGAGAGGAGGAGTGGGTTCAGTTGCTTAGCCCCTTCTGGGCAACAGGTTCTGAGCACTGACTGTCCGCATACCTGGGGGGATAAGGGAAGGAGTGCAGGAGTGGGCCTGCCTGGACCTCAGTGGTCAGCATCCTTGGTGAAGAGCTGCATACTGCCTGTTCTGGCTTCCTGAGAACAACAGTCCACCCGGCTCCAGTCCCACTGGGTAAGGCAAAGGCCAGCTCGTGCTGTGTCCACAGGGAGAAACCCAGCCTTCACCTCCTTCCTGGGGCTTCAGCACCTCCAAGGATGCTTGGGCTTTTTTAACAGGAGAAGGAGTGGAGCTTGGTGCTGGCTCTGCCCTGAGGGGAGGAGTCAGAGATCAAAGGGCAGTGAGCTGCTGCTCCCAGAGGATTGAAAGGCCATAAACTGGGGAGAAACGGGCTCAAATCCCGTTAGAAAAAAGGCTCCCCGATTAGGCTCCGGGGTCTGCGATGAGGAGAGCAGAGCTTGGGAGGGGGAGGGTCACTAGTTCAGGGGCTATAATAAGGGAAAGA